GTTTGCATCATCATTGTCACAATTAGTACTGATGGCTGTGGTCAATTTAGTCTGGAGCTATTAAGATGGGTATGGGGGAGTTGTTCTGTTTTCGCTATTTTATGCTTGTAGAAATGGCCTCAATTTTCTCTTCTGTCTGATTAGTCTTAGCATATGGATTTCTTTTTTGCCATATTCTATTGCAGAGGCTGCCTCTCTCTGCCTTTCTCCCTCACATCTGGAATCCAGCCAAAAGCACCAGAACAAGATGCTTCTCACATTTGAGCCCTTTTGTAAGGGTGCTGATTGCAACTTGGGTAACTTCAGTATAATCTAAGGTGGAAGCTTTCTGCTGCTTTTGGGGAAAAAATAAATGTCTAAAAATAAAACCTAGGCATAAAAATAGGGCCAAATACTCATTAACTGCCTCACTTAGCTGAACGCTGAAATTATTTCAACAGCACTAAATCAAGCCTTTGTGTAGAAGAGGTTGGGTATTTTTTTTATCCATAGTACTTTATCTTAGATGTTAAATGGGTTACTGTAATTTCTAACTTTATTCAAAACATGAGTTAAATAGTCCTCAGAGACTCAATTTTTGGCTTATGCTCATGCTGACCCTTGACTTGGAGCACTTGTGTTCACAAGCCTCCAGGAATGTATTTTGTGGGCTGCTGTGGGGAAGGATGGGGGGACAGACAGGACCAGGAGCAGAGTATTCAAGGCTTGGGATGCTAGGGTTAAGAATTTGGATCTTACTCTAGGTGTGGTGGGAAGCCACTAGAGGGATTTAATTAGGAGAATATTACAGAATGACTTCTTTGTTAAAAATATGACTCCTGACTGCTGTATTGACAGTGGACTGGAAGGAGACAACAGTAGGAAAAGGGTAACCAGGCAAATGCCTATTTATAGATATCCAGGTATGAAGGGATAGTGGCTTTCGAGCAGGATTGAAATAGAGTTGGAGAGAAGTAGACAAATAATGGAGTTTATCTAATTCATTAACAACAAAAAGATTGGTTAATATCCTAGATATGGGGCATGAGAGAATGGAAGAGTCAAGATTGATTTCTAAGTTTCTGGCCCAAGCAACTGGAAGAATTTGGTACTAGTTGAGATGAAGACTGGAGAAAGAACAGAATAGTTTTTGCTGTTTTGTTGTGTTTGGGGTGGGTCATAGAGCAATGGAAAAGGGAATGAGGTTGAAGTGGTTCATGTTAACTTTGGGAATCTAAATCAACAGTTCAGAAGAATAGTTGAACGTATGACCTTGACCCAGTAGATAAGTTTGAGAATCCTTGATGTATAGATTATATTCAGAGTCATGAGACCAACTCACCTAAGGAGAGAGTAGAAAGAAAGGAGAAAACCTGGTAAAATTCCATATTTCCACATAAATAGGGCAAGCAGAAGAGAACCAGTGAAGGACTAAGAAGGAACAGCAGTGAGGAAGGAAAAATAGAGTATGATGTTCCAGAAACCAAGAGAAGACTCTTAACAAAGGAAGGTAACAGTCAATTACATTAAATGCTGCTGTGAGGTTGAGTTAGATGAGGACAAATAACATTACTGTTTTTGGTGTTCTTGGTAATATTGACAAGGGCAGTTTATGACATGTCATGAAGAAAAGAGCTGAGAGTTGATAGGAGATTGTAAAGTGGGAAATGAAGACAGCTACTTAGACAATTACCTCAAGAAATTAATGGAGCTGAGAAATAGATAATCAAGAGTAAGGGGAGAATTTTTTGGTTTTTTTCTGATGTTTCTAAGATGGGTGATTGGAGCATTTATGCCTATAGAATTGATTCAGGAGAGAGAGAGATCGATCCTGATGATGTGGTAGAGAGGAAATATGATTGCAGGGACAAATTTCCTTTTTTTTTTTTTTTTTTAATTATACTTTAAGTTCTGGGTTACATGTGTAGAACACACAGTTTTGTTACATAGGTATAAAGGTGCCCTGGTGGTTTGCTGCACCCATCAACCCGTCACCTACATTAGGTATTTATCCTAACGTTATCTCTCCCCTAGCCCCCAACCCCCTGACAGGCCGCAGTGTATGATGTTCCCTTCCCTGTGTCCATGTGTTCTCATTGTTCCACTCCCACTTATGAGTGAGAACATGCAGTGTTTGGCTTTCTGATCTTGTGATAGTTTGCTGAGAATGATGGTTTCTAGCTTCATCCATGTCCCTGCAAAGGACATGAACTCATCCTTTTTTATGGCTGCATAGTATTCCATGTGTATATGTGCCACATTTTCTTTATCTAGTCTATGGTGGATAAATGATGGACATTTGGGTTGGTTCCAAGTCCAAATTAAAAAGAACTAGATAAATAACAGCAAACAAATTCAAAACCTAGCAGAAGACATGAAATAACCAAGATCAGAGAAGAACTGAAGGAGATAGAGGAACGAAAAACCCTTCAAAAAAATCAGTGAATCCAGGAGCTGTTTTTTTTTTTTTTAAATCAACAAAATAGACCACTAGCCAGACTAATAAAGAAGAAAAGAGAGAAGAATCAAATAGATGCAATAAAAAATGATGTAGGGGATATCACCACTGATCCCACAGAAATACAAACTACCATCAGAGAATACTATACACACCTCTACACAAATAAACTAGAAAATCTAGAAGAAATGTATAGATTCCTGGGCACATATACCCTTCCAGGTCTAAGCCAGGAAGAAGTCAAATCCCTGAATAGACCAATAATAAGTTCTGAAATTGAGGCAGTAATTAATAGCCTACCAACCAAAAAAAGTCCAGGACCAGACAGATTCACAGCCAAATTCTACCAGAGGTGGAAAGAGGAGCTGGTACCATTCCTTCTGAAACTATTCCAAACAATAGAAAAAGAGGGAATCCTCCCTAACTCATTTTATGGGACAAATTTCTTGAATGCAGAAAGGCGTGAGATGCAGAGTACAGGGAAAGGTTTGGCCTTGGATAAGAGCAGAAGGAGAGACAAAAAGAGTGCACCTAGATGTTAATAGGTTGGTTGAGTTACTGATAGGAGGATGAGGGAGTAGCCCTAATCAGTCACAGCAATTAATGAAGTAAGAGCATCAGCTGGAAAGGAGGTGAGAAAGGGGAATGTCAGTTTCAAGAGAAGGTAGCAAATATTGGAGTCATTCTAGGCAGTGGGAAGATGAACCTCTAGTAGGACAATGGACATGGAATGTTTCAGGGTTACATTAAACAAGGTGAATTTGAGTTAATTTTTGCTTGGAAAGACTGTAATTAAATTTTAAGGTTTTTTTAATGGCATATAGAGGCAAAAGGTATTATTACATGTTTACATATTTTAATAGTAGAAAAATGAGTTTAACGATTACTTGTAATCTTACTATTCAGAGATAATCATTGTGATATCCTTTTATATATTATACATGCAAATATTTCCATAGGAAGAAATATAAAGGTCTTAATCTTGATAACCAATACTATTTTAGAGCAGTTTTGATTTTACTAACTATTTTAGTTATTGCTCTAAGAGAAATAAAAACAAATGGAGTGATAAATTTGTCATATTGCAAAAGTATTTCTATATTTTGTTGCTTTTTCCATTTTTATAGAGATATATCTGTAGAAGAAAATGTACAGTTAATGTTAAAAGGTCTTCCTCCTAAGGTTGTGTTTTCAATAACTTTCTTATAGTTTTTAAAATGTAAAAATGAAACTCTAAATTATTAACCTACCAGGTTTTATTTTGATAAGATGTGATTAAGGAATCTAATTTTACTTTTTTTAAGAAAAAATTGTTATTTTAAATTCAGGAGATACATGTGCAGGCTTATTACATGGGTATATTACATGGTTAATTTCACTTAAAATAGTTTTAAGTCATTCTTAAATCACATTATCTCACAACAAATATAGAACATATTCTTGTAATAGTAGAGCTCCTAAATGATATCTTTTTATTTATTTATTTTATTATTATTTTTTTGAGACAGAGTCTCAGTGTCTTGCCCAGGCTGGAGTGCAGTGGTGCAGTCTCGGCTCACTGCAACCTGCGCCTCCCTGGTTCAAGCAATTTGCCTGTGTCAGCCTCTTGAGTAGCTGGGACTACGGGCACATGCCACCACACCCGGCTAGTTTTTGTATTTTTAGTAGAAACAAGGTTTCGCCATGTTGGCCAGGCTGGTCTTGAACTCCTTACCTTGAGCGATCCTCTTGCCTTGGCCTCCCAAAGTGCTGGGATTACAGGTGTGAACCACCATGGCCAGCCACCAAATGATACCTTTAAAATTTTCTTTTAGAGATTTTTAAAACCAATTGTATGCTATTCTTTAAACAAGCTATGTAAAGTGTAAAAATTATCTTTAATCCGATCCTCTGGGAAAATCAGTTATATTGTACTTGCTTGAAACTGTAATGTGTGTACACGTTTTGCCATCTATATTTTCTCACTTTTTTGAGTTTTTGAAACATTCTTTGTAAACCATGAATTTAATGACTTGCACTAGTATCGGATATGTAAAAATATATTTTCAGCTTTTAGTTGTTCTTTATTTGTGATTATAAACAACATCATAGTTAATACCACTGGCACTTAATATTGAATTTAAATTGATTTTAGTATTTTCTATCATAAAAGCAATATGTCCATGTGAAAGCCTTAAAAATAGCAAACTATTATCCAGAGAACCACTGCTGCATATATACCAAATCTTTATTCATTCAAGAGCCATGTTTCAGCACCTGTTAATAGCAGTCACTGCTTCAGATATGAAACCTGCTCTTCATAGTTAATATCCTCATATATTTAGTCATATATCTTGTCAGTATCCTATGAGCAGAAATGTGTATGCTTTTATAAAAGGAACCATGCTATTTAGAAATTGTATTGTAATCTAATTTTTCTCCGATAACCCATTAAGAAATTCCTTCCAATGCCATTGAACCATCCTTTACAATATCATGTTTAATGGCTACAAAAGAATTATTCATGTGAATATACTACTCTTTTCCAATTCCCTTTTGCATTTTAAATCCATAACATGTGCACTTTACTTCTCTTTGATAGAATGACTAATATGTCCTGCACGAGACATGAAGGCACAGACGTCTTTCTTCCTCATTCTCATATCATCTCTGAGTGGATCTCAAGGTAATTTCCTTTGTAATACGAGTGTTAGTTATTTGCATTATCAGATAGAAACACGAGCACACAATGCAAGGTGGCTATTTCCTCCATAGCCATAGCATTGTGAACTTTCCTAAATCATCAGTTAATCAGAAGCAAGGAACAGGCTAGAAGTCTGCATGAAGACTAAAAATTACATATATATTTTTCTGTCCACTCTGACTAAGACTCTTTCTAATCTGTTATCTGCTACCAGAAATAAGTTCACTGGGAAAACAAGTTTGATTGATTGATTTTTTTTTTTTTTAAGTGTAAGCTTGGTACTTACCACTTGACAGAAGGCATTATCAGCTTTGCGAGGTCCTATGACAGGCATTCTTAATTATCCAGTGAAACATTAGAGGGGTTTAGCAGAGCAATTAGGGAGATCGACAATCACTCTTTTCCTTGCCCATCTTTCCGTGTCTTTCTTTCAGCATAATGCCACATCTCTCTAGCTCTCTGAAGAGAAACTAAGTCTCTCTGAGGAAGAGAGGCGGGACATGGTAGGGTAGAAAGAGCCCCAGAGGGAAAGACAGAGGATAAAGACTGTGACAGAGCCACTTGGGCACCCAGTTCTTCCATCTTGGGTGGCCCGGGCCATGAGCCAAAGGAGTTACTCCGTTGTCCAAAAAGTAAGGACCTTTCCAGTGCTAATATCTTAGAATCCATAGACAGGGCACAAGATCTACTTAAAATATTTTGTAAATCAAAGCAGTTAGATTACTGCCTTCAATGATAGGAAGTGTCTGCGTATATTTTCTTTGCAAAAATCTCTTATTCTGCTGATTTCATTTGCTTTTTGAAATCAACTTGTGAAGTTGACAGTGAAAAGAAAACAAAACAAAATAAGTAAATCAAGATAATTGGGGATTAGGCTTCCACATTTATCTCCAGATATTCCTTACCTACATTTTGACCAACTCAGGATATCCTGAGAGCAGTCTTAAAGTCAAAGCAAATGAATGACTCCATTTTCCTTTTGGACTTCTCCTGCTCATGTCCTCCCCTATTTAGATCTAGTCTACAGATATTCCTATCAGATTCCTGAACCCAGCATTGTCTTCTACATGCTCCAAATATTTTCTTACCCAATCAAGCTGAGTTTATTCCATTCTTTTAGGGCCTGCTGGCTGTTGCTAGCTGGATAAACTAATTTATTATTGCTATAGTAGGAGTTAAATGTCAATATGTTCTGGGAATGAAATCAAAAGGAGTCTTTCAACATACATGATTTCCAGGCCAGGATTGGGAGATGAGATTATTGATCAAGTGGGCAGCAAACCAGTGTTTCTACACCGTGGGCTGTTACCAGTTCTCCCAGTTACATTGAATAAAATGGATATTCAATTAAAATTAAAACTCAGACACAGAGCTTCATGGTTTGTTTCTAATAATCAGACAACAAGTGTTTTTGATGATGTGGTCTATTAATAATCAAGCTGCTAACCTAGGAAGGTTCTTCTGGGTAGTTCTGGTATAATCCTGACTAAGCACACATCATTAATTCTCTTTATAAATTCTCTGCTCTTGACTGTAGGCATATTCCTTTCGGCTTTCTTCACTTATGTTCCTATGAATGAACAAATCATCACTGGAAGACTTGGTGAAGATATAATTCTCCCTTCTTCATTTGAGAGGGGATCCGAAGTTGTAATACACTGGAAGTATCAAGATAGCTACAATAGCTACAATGTTCACAGTTACTACAAAGGCAGTGGCCATTTGGAAAGCCAGGATACCAGATATGCAAACAGGACGTCCCTTTTCTATAATGAGATTCAAAATGGGAATGCGTCTCTATTTTTCAGAAGATTAAGCCTTCTGGACGAAGGAATTTACACCTGCTATGTAGGAACAGCAATTCAAGCGATTACAAACAAAGTGGTGCTAAAGGTGGGAGGTAAGTGTGCATGTAAATTTTCGTGAAACATAGCAATGACATCATTCCGTGTTATTAGTAAGCATCTTTGTCCTAATATGCCATGAGCTTCCTTCCAAGTCAATACATGGAAATCTCCTTATTTTTAATGCACAGCATCTTGTAGTATACTAATGTTATAAATGATACAACTGTTCCCCTGTTGGTGGGTATTCAGGCATTTCCAGTGTTCTACATTACATGGTTGTGATGAACACCCTTATAGCTGTACTTAATACCAGGAAATAATCTGAAAGCAAAGTACCAGAAGTAAGATTTAAAAAGGTTACTGACACTAACAGCATAAGACTATCCACTTTCTCCTTAGTCTTATCAGTACCAAATAACTGCCAATATCATGACTGAAAAAATATTGAATTGTTGATTTAAATTGCATTTTTCTATATTATAAATGAGGTTAATTTTTATATTATATGCTTTCCTTCTCTGTATTAGCTATATATAACACTATACCTATATAACTATAAGTCATTAATATAGTTAATATATGCAGTTATGTACAGTTAATATCACTCAAACACAGCTTCATGGTGGTTATATATAACTACATATGACTATATATTAACTGTATTACTATATTAACTGTTGCTAATTCTCATAGTTATATTGAACCAAACAAGTATTAGATTAGATTAGAAGCTCTTTGAAGAAACCCAAAGAGCTTCATGGCTCCTTATTACTGGATTACCAAGAGTTCCTGATGATGTGCTCTGTTAATGATCAGGCTGTTGATCATTTATATGTAATATGGTTAGTATGTAGTATAATATATAGTACAATTTTGCATATAGATATAGACACACATATATGCAGTATTTTCTTATGGATTGTTTTTTCTAGCACTTGTTTCTTTTTCTTCTGTCCCTTTTAGCTGCTTCAGACCTTGATTCAGAAATCACAAAATTATGTGTAAACAGAGTCAAATAGGTGCTCTGAGTCAGTATTTGAGAAGTGTAGAGTGCCACATGAACTCTATTTTATAGACCTAGACACCCTCATTTTGGTTTCTCAATGAGGCCATTAGATTTCTTTTCCAGCTATGTTTCTAGAGAATTGAGATTGCTAGTTGCCACATACCCATGCCTGCTCTTTTTTTATTTCTTCTAGATAACTACACTATATCTTAAGGTTCTACAGAGGTGTTTTTTCCCCCCGTTTCAGCCAAATTTTGCTCATAAAACTTAGCTTTTCATTTCATGGGTATTAAACAGTATTCTGCACAGATGGCCTATAAAAAAGCCAATGATGGCAGTTTTTCATGTGCCCTTCTTTCTCCTATGTAGTTTTTCTCACACCCGTGATGAAGTATGAAAAGAGGAACACAAACAGCTTCTTAATATGCAGCGTGTTAAGTGTTTATCCTCGTCCAATTATCACGTGGAAAATGGACAACACACTTATCTCTGAAAACAATATGGAAGAAACAGGGTCTTTGGGTCCTTTTTCGATTAACAGCACACTGAATATTACAGGATCAAATTCATCTTATGAATGTACAATTGAAAATTCACTGCTGAAGCAAACATGGACAGGGCGCTGGACAATGAAAGGTAGACTCCACAGGACTTTCTGTGTACGCTATTTCGAGGTTGGGGGGTAATGGGGACTGATTTTCAAGGAAAGAAAGGAAGATGAAAGAAAAGAAAGCAAATCCATCCGCAGCAGTTAGAAGACCAAGACCGGAGCCCCAGGGCTGGTTCTTCTGACTGTATTACACTAAGCAATCATTCTTACTTTTGAGCATTAGGACCGTACCTCGTTGATAAAATAGAAGTAATTCTTACCTTGCTAGGTATTTATGAGTTGATTGAAAACATTTATGAAGTGGAAAGAAGCAAATCTATTCTTGAATATTAGTGTATTTCTCAGTGGCTCATCCTTCAAACAGGATTTTCTATCAGCATTGCTCTTTAAAAAACCAAAAGAGAAAGAATACGTGTCTTTCAGCAGATCACAACTTCCAGTCTTTCAATTAAACAAAATATTAATTAGTATAATTGCTTCTTTTTAGTTTCTTTACATAGTATTAGCCCATCAATCTTTATCCACTACCTCTGTCACAACATGGTCAGTTTTTAGTACTCTTTCTTCTCATTTATTTCAAGAGATCCAAACTCTGATCAATCTCTATATCCAAAACCTGTTTAATAAAAATTAATTTGCTATCTCCATATTCAATTCCAAGAAAATTTGTTTTCCTTTTGAGATGGAGTCTCGCTTTGTTGCCCAGGCTGGAGTGCAGTGGCGTGATCTCGGCTCACTGCGATCTCGGCTCACTGCCACCTCCGCCTCCCAGGTTCAAGTGATTCTCCTGCCTCAGCCTCCTGAGTAGCTGGGATTACAGGCATGTGCTACCACGTGTGGCTAATTTCTGTGTTTTTTAAGTAGAGATGGTGTTTCACCATGTTGGTCAGGCGGGTCTCGAACTCCTGACATTATGATTTGCCCACATCAGCCTCCCAAAGTGCTGGGATTACAGGCATGAGCCACCGTGCCCAGCCTGTTTTTCATTTTATTCTTAATAAAGCAAAAATTTTCTGTCAATCTCCCTTATATGGGGAAAATGGAGGGTAGCTGTTTTTTTCAGCCTTCTCTTTCCTAGCATCTCATATTCTCAAAATGCTCACCAAAAATATACTGAAATTGTGGGTGATTCACCACATTTACATGAGTCCAGTGTTAAAGGAATGAGTACCCAATGTTCATTCTCCATCAGACAGGCAGCAATGGAAACATGGGAAAGGGTTGCAAATGTTAATATTATAAACATTGTCTTTGGAAAATCCTAATTTCTCATGTTCATTTAGAATTGAGTGTCTTGAAGCATGAACAGTTCTTTAGGCTCAGTACTGTTTGGTCTCATTGAAAAGCTATTATGTGCCAAGTTTTGTTGCTCACAGACTGTGAACTTAAGAACATGGTCTCTACTGATTTCTGGATCCGCAGCATCTAGTACAGATATAAAAATTCAACTAGGAACATAGCTTACAAAGGGAGTGATTAATTCTACTCTCTGTGGTGGGGCACAAATGGGGTTTTTACAGAATATGTGCTTAAGAAAGTTGCATAAGGGCAGAATTTTAGAAGAGTAGTAGGACATTCCAGGAGAACAAGAATATTCCAGGTAAAAAGCACAGAAAAGTAAAATTGCCTGGATTTGTCGAATCTACAGATCAAGAGATGAACCTGGAGAGGGAGGCAGGAAAAAAAAAAAAAAACAGATGAAAGACCTTTTACACATTGCTAAGGAGCTTGTTGAGTCTTGGAGATAGGATGGATCAGAAGAGGGATTTGAAACATCAGAGAGCCCTTGGATTTGCCTTTTGGAAGGCTTGCTTTGGCATCACTCTCCTGCAGGTAGACTGGAAGCCAGGTGAGTCTAGAATCAGGGAGAGCAGTCCATAGCAGTCCATAAAGGTCAGCCTACGGCACTACAGAACAGGAAGGACAAGACGGAGCTGGGTCTGGAGGGGCAAGGCAAGAAAATTCAGCAGAGTCTCTCTTCTAAAAGGGCTCAGTCCAGTGGGGGTTGCCTGCACACAGCTGGAAATATTCTTACATGCAGAAAAAGAGATTTTTGTCTAGATAAAGGGATTAAGAAGTAGTGAGGCCATAAAAGTTAGAGACCACTAGGGAGTAGGTAGGGTAACAAAAGGGGTGTTCTGGGGAACACCAGCATTAGAGAAGCCAAACATTGAGTTTAGTAGGCTAGCAACTGGTAGCAACATTCCTGAGTGCTTACTGTCAGGTTCTAAGAGTTAAAACAAGTACATCACCCCTCTAGCTGGCCCTGGCTTTGCCCTCCTTGAAGGTTTAAACTAACCTTGGTGGGAAACTTTAAAATAGTGGTAGTAAAACTTGTCTTATAAGAAACCACAGCACAAATATAATTACTTTCCAAAAAGTTATTTCTAAATATATCAATATTAGTGCCTTTGTTCTCTGCTTTCTAAGTGTAACTTAGAGAATTCTTTTGAAATGTTTATCTTCATTGATGTTTTCTTTTCTATTGTGTTGTTAGATGGCCTTCATAAAATGCAAAGTGAACATGTTTCACTCTCATGTGAACTTGTAAATGATTATTTTTCACCAAACCAAGACTTCAAAGTTACTTGGTCCAGAATGGAAAGTGGGATTTCCTCTATCCTGGCTTACTATCTGAGCTCCTCACAAAATACAACTTTCTATGAATCCCGATTCTCATGGAACAAAGAGCTGAAAAACCAGAGTAAGCTGAAAAACCAGAGTGACTTCTCTATGAATTTGACGGATCTTAGTCTTTCAGACAGTGGGGAATATTTGTGCAATATTTCTTCGGATGAATATACTTTACTCACCATACACATGGTGCACGTAGGTAAGCTGCAAGTAGGTTTGGATAATGGGTTTTGGCTATAGCATTAGAGATTTGTGAATATCAGACAGAAAATTACGTTGACTTTTCAAGAATACATTGATACCCTCTCAAAATATAATCTACAGGAGTATTTCTGGTCAGGATGTTGATTATCCTCCCTCCTTCAACCACATAAAAGTCCTGTTTTGAAAAAAAAAAAATTACTCCCACAGATTTCCTTTCAGGATTTGGGGGCTTCAGAAATGAGGAGGAAACATACATTTTGATGACTCCATGGGCTAAGCATCTTCCATTTCTGCTCACTGCTGTGCCTAATATATACCATAGCCCTAATGTTTGGGGAGTCAAGGCTAGGGACATTAGGAAGTTACAATCGGGGTCCTGAAGAATGCTGGGAAAACATGGCAGTGTCTATGAACTTGGAAATAATCACCGCACAATATTTGAAGCACCAAGTATATATTCCTGGTTCAGTTCATTTTTACCTATGTTGATAGTTCACTGCCAAAAACCATTATCTAAAATATTTCTAGTCAACTAACCATCGAGTCATGGAATTATATACTCATGAAACTGACCTTCTAGGTGATCTAGATGGTCCCACCCTTAAACTATCAACTTCACATCATGGCAGACCATGGCAGCTCTTTCTGTCCTTCAATAAAGATATTTGAACCAGTGGAACTTATGTTTTAGAAGTATTTCTATCATTTCAATTGTGAAAACTAGGAGGAATAACATTTGAAGTTTTGGTGATTCTGTGTGGTGAGATTTGGAGACAAGAGCACAGGGTTGTCCTTTAGGTTATGTGATCTTCAAATACTTGGAAGCTTCTGGACATTGAGTAATAACACTCCCTTTGTAGAGCTGCCACTTTGAGAGTAGAGAATGAAAAACTGGGGCTACATTTGAAGCTCCTATTTTTCTCCAAAAATAAAAGTGTCAGTTTTATGTAAAATACAGTTAAGCCTGCAATCTATTTTTAAAAATGTTGCCTCATGTTGGATTCATTTTGGAGTGTAAAAAAAAATAGTCAAGAAGAAATGTCCTAAAGACCACATATGGCCCGTCTTCCCACCCAGAGATCTAATTTTCAGTTCACACAAAGTGAAACATCAGGACCATTCCATCTCTGACAAAAGAGTATTTTCGGAACCTCTCATTCTCAAATAAATGTTGGCAGGTGGGGCTGGGGGAGGGTGTGCTCACCCTTCCCCACCAGGAAGAGGACTTGGCAGGAGCCACCCTAGCAGGGCAGGAAACAGGGCAAACCGTCTTGGTACCTTAAATATCATCCTTTCAAGGAACTTGTTTCCTATTCTGAATTGTGACTTTTCCATTTGTTGTCTTTCCCAGGAGGTGCTACAACAAGATAGGGGTCTTATGATTCCTCGAATCTAGATCTGGTCAATTAAGGTTGCATCAAGCTGAATGGAATTAAATAATCCTTGCTAAGTTTTCCTGCTGAATCAATACGTGACGTTGGGCAAATATCTTTAGAGATGGGGGAACCTGAGGGTCACGAGTACAGTGAGAAGTAGACTTGTAGATTTCCTTGTAGGATTTCCTTTAGGAGGAAGAAAAATGCAAATGCAAATGAAAACACTGTAGAAAGTCAACCTAACGTTCCTACTTAATCTCTCCTTTACGTAGGTACATTAGTCCCCCCTTTCCATGGGGGATATGTTCCAAGACCCCCAGTGGATGCCTGAAATTATGGACAGTACCAAACCCTATATATGCATTCTCACATGGTACCAGGATTAATCTGTCCTTCCATGTTTATGCCTTGGTGCCTCATTCACACTTCTTATGATTACAGGTTCTACTGGGCATCTTCTTCCAGCAGAGCTTGTTTTCATTGCAATTAAAGACTTGCTTTGGATGGAAATGTGGCTGTAGCTTCATCATCAGCAGACACAGCCTCTCCAGTAATCTTTATATTTTTCAATCCAAGCTCATTTCTAAATCTGTGTAGCCATCCTCTACTTGCAGTAAATGGCCTATTTCAAGGGATCTCTTGCTGAAGTCTTCATAAAAGCCCAAAGCCTTCCAGTGTAACATATCATCAAGCAGAACACATTTCTGTTCATGTCTTCCACCCTCAAATTTAATGCCATTTCCATCTTAGCATATACAACACAGTGTGGCCATAACTGTTGTAGGTTGAGACAACACAAATTTTCTTCTTTCTTTCTTCACAATTTTACAGATAGTAGATTCATTTTCACCATAGATCTCAGCAACCTCAATATTTGATTTTTCATATGTCAAGAGCTTTAATTGTTTTAGTTCAAGGAAGCACTTTATGGCTTCTTTTTGGTATATCCAAATTGCCAGCATCACTACTCTTGTGCTTTGGGACCATTCTTAAAGAAAATAAGGGTTACTTGAACACAAGCATTGTTATACCATGACAGTCAATCTGATAACTGAGATGGCTAGTAAATGATTCATGGTGGTAGTGTGTACAACGTGGATATGCTGGACAAAGGGTGCAGTCACATCCCAGGTGGGATGGAGTGGCACGACACAATATTTCATCATGCTACTCAGAATGGCACACAATTTAAAACTTAAGAATTGTTTATTCTTGGAATTTTCCATTTGGTTATGTTTGGACTACAGTTGACCATGGGTAACTAAAACCTCAGAAAGTTAAACCATGGATAAAAGGAACTCCTGTATGGAATTTCAGAATGACACAAATAGGTGAAGAGATTAATATTTTATTAGTTGTAAAACACTATAGTATGTTCATAGAAAATTACATTTGTTATATAAACAGAGGTATTCATTCTAAAGGATAGCCACAAACATTTTCCTCCTGAATTGACCTTTGTGCTCCATCGCTTCCTGCCCATGTTTTAGCAGAACATAGACCGTAAGGTTAACAGGGTTCTGACTTTGGTAACCCAGGGTCTCTGGAGTCCCCACTTCCATTAATAATACTTTCAACAATTCTAGTCCTGACCAAGATGTTGGAGAATGGAGAAAGTTTAGGCTCCTCCAGTTATTTCTGAGGAGCTCTAAACACTATCAGCAGGTCCTCCTTTTCTGCAGTTTGTTACCCAAAGTCAACCGTAGTCTGAAATTTTTAAAAGGAAAATTCCAGAAATAATGTTTTAAATTGTGTGCCATTCTGAGCAGCATGATGAAATTGCATGTCATCCCACTCCATCCTGCCTTGAAGGTGAATCCTCCCTTTGTCCAGCATATCACACTGTGGATGCTACCCGCCTGTTAGTCATTTAGCCCTCCGGATAATCAGATCTACTGTCATGATACTGCAGTGCTTGTGATCAAGTAAGCCTTATTTTATTTAAGAAAGGCCTCAAAGCACAAGAATAGTGATGCTGGCAATTCGGATACGCCGAAGAGAAGTCATGAAGTGCTTCCTTTAAGGGAAAGCTCTCAACTTAAGGGGGAAAAAAGCATATGTTGAGGTTGCTAAGATCTACAGTAAGAATGAATCTTCTATCTATAAAACTGTGAAGATGGAAAAAGAAATTAGTGCATACTATGCATAAGGTTTGGTACTAAGGTTTCAGGCATCCACTCGGGGGTCTTGGAATGTATCCCCCAGGGATAAAGGGGGACTACTGTGCCTATTATCTCTTTGGTCACCTGCCACCTCTAACTCAAGACCATGGCTTCTACTTAGCTCCTTTTATCACCTCTGAACTTACCACTGTTCCCTTAGGACCCTGTCTTCTCTAGGCCAATGGCGGACTGCACTCTTCATTCTCCAAGGTGAACACTGGGCTGAGGCTAATTTATGGACATAATTATTCCTTTATAAAAATGTGTTATTTCTTATTACAGTATAAAGCAATAGAAACTGAAAAGGCATAATAGACGTATTGCCTCTCCAGTTTTCAGACTTTTCTCCCAGCTCTCCCAACCCCCACCAATCTCCAATAATATTATGGTATCTGTAGGTTTCCCACAATAGATACACTGAGACTAGGAGATATTTATGCTCAAGACAAACTCTCTTGTCCAGTCTGGGTTCTTGGTTTTATCCTAAAGGACCTTTTTATTATGCAAAGTATTTTCATATTAATTCAGCCTCCTACCTGTAACACAGAAATAACTAGTTTTAAAAATAGTAAACATACTCCACCCTCACCCACCCACACATTTTTTATTTGGTACCTTTTCTTCCAGTTCACAGACTTTGTTTCTCTGTTTTATTTAGAACCAAGCCAAGAAACAGCTTCCAGTAACAAAGGCTTATGGATTTTGGTGGCCAGTCTGATTTTGGTGGCCGGTCTGATTTTGCTGATTTGGAAAGTTAAATGTTGCACAGGTAATATCTCAGGAAGAATTTGGGCTCTGCCCCACATGTTCCACATCATGTATATTCCCAACCAGCTACTGGGCATGTAAATTGATCTGAATTTTCTGGAATGTCATTCACAAAATTCACCCAAAATCTTTTAAAATGCTCCTACATTTCCACCTAACCGTTCCACTTCTAGGAATTTATCTCACATTAAATGAGCAGAGGTACACCAAACTATATACAAACATATTCACTGCAGCACACTGCTATTGCTTTTAGATTTCCTACTATTGTCAATAAATAATTGAGAAATTAAATTAATTGATGATCAATAATTTTTAAAATTTTAATCTAGTATTGAAATGATAACCAGGATGACTTAATCATCCTGCATTAAAAGGTAACTGGAAAGAAAAAAGCCAAAGCTTTAAGAAGTTGCCTTTGGAGTGACGGGACCATGAGTTCTTCCTTACCCTCACACCTCAGAAGGAAGCCAGATACCCCCTTAAGTCCCTGGACTCTGCTTGTTCTCCCTTGCTCTGAGCTTAGTCAAGGTTGGTGCTCTGATTGAAACTGCATTGTTCTTTTCTTATGGGTCATTTCATTTTAATTATTGTTCAACTTAATTTTTTTCTAAATTTTAGGCAAAAACCTTACTAGTAATTTAAACTATCTTAAGACGCCATGATCATGGGAAGTACTTTTAGGGAGTACTTTCTTAGAGTACTTTGCTTTTAGTAACAGAATTTTGAGCTAGAGAGCATCTGGGCAAAACTTAGATCTCGTTGATCTCCACATTTTACAGATCAGGAAACAGGAATCCGAGCAGTTAGCTCAAGTGCTAAGTAGGCATGTGAAACAGATTTAGGTGGATCATTTAATAGCACCAAGCCAGCTAGTGGCAGAGGCAGGTTCAGGCCCCCAGAAGCCCTCCCTTACTCCACTATCCCCCTGAGGAGGCTCTGGGTATCCTGGGAACTTGAGCTAGATCCTGTGTCTCTTTTATCCCTCTTTCTGGTTGATATTTGGCTATTGCCCCTGCTGAAGGTAGGAGATTTGGGTTATAGCAGAAACTATTATTGAAGATATAGTTTTAGGGGCAATGGAGAGCAAGCATCTCACCAATTCTATCCCTGTGATCATTTGTACTAATAGGCAGGCTAGTTCCTGTCCCTTGGCTGACCAGAAGTAGTAAGAGACCACAGGCAGGTTAGCTTGTCTACCAAGATCAACCATTGACCTAATATACTGATATCTGTGATTGGATTAGATTCAAATTATGGGAGAGGTGGTGCTACATCCTACTCAAGAATGATAGTTTAGTTTCTTTAGTGGAAGTCTGCATAAGTCAGTTCTCAACTGTAAATACATGGCACACTCAAAACTGGATAAAGAACTTACGAGACAGTATATTCATAGCTGGGAGCACCTGATTCACTAGCAAACTTAAACTTTAAGGGACAAGGTCAGAGAGCAGTTCCCAAAACTTGAGAGAGTCACATAAGATTAGTTGCCTTGTAAGGACAGTGACTTACTTCTTTTTTTCTTTCTTTCTTTTTATTTAAGTTCTGGGATATATGTGCTGAACATGCAGGTTTGTTACATAGGTATACATGTGCCCTGGTGGTTTGCTGCACCTATCAACCTATCATCTAGGTTTTAAGCACCGCATACATTAGCTATGTGTCCTAATGCCCCCCTCTCCTTTACCCTCATCCTCTGACAGTCCCTGGTGTGTGATGTTCCCCACCCTGTGTCCAAGTGTTCTCATTGTTCAATTCCCACCTATGAGTGAGAACATGCGGCGTTTGCTTTTCTGTCCTTGTGATGGTTTGCTGAGAATGATGGTTTCCAGCTTCATCCATGGCCCTGCAAAGCACATGAACTCATTCTTTTTTATGACTGCGTAGTATTCCATGGTGTATATGTGCCACATTTTCTTTATCCGGTCTATCATGGATGGACATTTGGGTTGATTCCAGGTCTTTGCTATTGTGCATAGTGCTGCAGTAAACATATGTGTGCATGTGTCTTTATAGTAGAATGATTTATAATCCTTTGGGTATATACCCAGTAATGGGATTGCTGGGTCAAATGGCATTTCTGGTTCCAGATCCTTGAGGAATCACCACACTGTCTTCCACAATGGTTGAACTAATTTACTCTCCCACCAAAAGTGTAAAAGTGTTTCTATTTCTCCACAGCCTCTCCAGCATCTGTTGTTTCCTGATGTTTTAATGACTGCCATTCTAACTGGTGTAAGATGGTATCTCATTGTGGTTTTGATTTGCATTTCTCTAATGACCACTGATGAGGTGCTCTTTTTCATGTTTGTTGGCTGCATAAATGTCTTCTTTTGAGAAGTGTCTGTTCATACCCTTCACCCACTTTTGATGGGGCTGTTTGTTTTTTTCTTGTAAATTTGTTTAAGTTCCTTGTAGATTCTGGATATTAGACTTTTGTCAGATGGATAGACTGCAAAAATTATCTCCCATTCTGTAGGTTGCCTGCTCACTCTGATGATCGTTTCTTTGGCTGAGCAGAAGCTCTTTAGTTTAATTAGATCCCAGTTTGTAAGGTGTAAGGAAGGGGCCTAGCTTCTATTTTCTGCATATGGCCAGCCAGTTTGCCCAGTACCATTTATTAAACAGGGAATCCTTTCCTCATTGCTTGTTTTTGTCAGGTTTGTCAAAGATCAAATGGTTGTAGATGTGTGGTGATATTTCTGAGGCCTCTGTTCTATTCCATGTATCTGTTTTGGTACCAGTGCCATGCTGTTTGGTTACTGTAACCTTGTAGTATAATCTGAAGTCAGGCAGCTTGATGCCTCCAGCTATGTTCTTTTGCTTAGGATTGTCTTGGCTATATGGGCTGTTTTTTGGTTCCATATGAAATTTAAAGTAGTTTTTTCTAGTTCTGTGAAGAAAGTCAATGGTTGCTTGATGAGAAGAGCATTGAATCTATAAATTACTTTGGGCAGTATGGCCATTTTCACACTATTGATTCTTCCTATTCATAAGTATGAATTTTTTTTCCATTTGGTTGTGTCCTCTCTCATTTCCTTGAGCAGTGGTTTGTAGTTCTCCTTGAAGATGTCCTTCACATCCCTTGTAAGTTGTATTCCTAGATATTTTATTTTCTTTGTAGCAATTGTGAATGGGAGTTCATTCATGATTTGGCTCTCTATTGGTCTGTTATTGGTGTATAAGAATGCCTTGTGATTTTCGCACATTGATTTTATATCCTGAGACTTTGCTGAAGTTGCTTATCAGCTTAAGGAGATTTTGGGCTGAGATGATGGGGTTTTCTAAATATACAATCATGTCATCTGCAAACAGAGACAATTTGACTTCTTCTGTTCCTATTTGAATATTTTTATTTATTTCTCTTGCCTGATTGCCCTGGTCAAAATGTCCAATACTATGTTGAACTATGGTGATAGAGGTCATCCTTGTCTTGTGCTGGTTTTCAAGGGGAATGCTTCCAGCTTTTGCCCATTCAGTACAACATTGGCTAAAGGTTTGCCATAAATCTCTCTTATTATTTTGAGATATGTTCCATCAATGCCCAGTTTGTTGAGAGTTTTTAGCATGAAGGGGTGTTGAAGTTTATTGAAGGCCTTTTCTGCATCTATTGAGATAATTACGTGGTTTTTGTCATTGGTTCTGTTTACATGATAGATTACATTTATTGATTTGCATATGTTGAACCAGTCTTGCATCCTAAGGATGAAGCCAACTTGATCATGGTGCATAGGCTTTTTGATGGGCTGTGGAGTCAGTTTGCCAGTATTTTATTGAGGATTTTTGCATTGATGTTCATCAAGGATATTGGCCTGAAATTTTCATTTTTTTGTTGTGTCTCTGCCAGGTTTTGGAATCAGGATGATGCTGGTCTTATAAAATGGTTAGGGAGGAGTCCTTCTTTATCTATTGTTTGGAATAGTATCAGAAGGAATGGTACCAGCTCCTCTTTGTACCTCTGGTAGAATTCAGCTGTGAATCCGTCTGGTCCTGGGCTTTTTTTGGCCGGTGGGCTATTAATTACTGCTTCAATTTCAGAACTTGTTATTGGTTTATTCAGGGATTCGACTTCTTCCTGGTTTAGTCTTAGGAGGGTATCCAGGAATTTATCTATTTCTTCTAGATTTTCCAGTTTATTTGCTTAGAGGTATTTATAGTATTCTCTAATGGTAGCTTGTATTTCTGTGGGATCAGTGGTGATATCCCCTTTATCATTTTTTATTGTATCTATTTAATTCTTCTTTCTTTTCTTCTTTATTAGTCTGGCTAGCAGTCTATCTATGTTGTTAATCTTTTCAAAATACCAGCTCCAGGGTTGACAGACACCTCATACAGGAGATCTCCAGCTGGCATCAGGCTGTTGCCCCTCTGGGACAAAGCTTCCAGAGGAAGGAGCAGTCAGCAATCTTTGCTGTTCTGCAGCCTCCGCTGGTGCTACCCAGGCAAATAGGATCTGGAGTGAACCTCCAGAAAACTGCAACAGACCTGCAGAAGAGGGGCCTGACTGTTAGAAGAAAAACTACCAAACAGAAAGCAGTAACATCAACATCAACACAAAGGACCCCCATACAAAACCACATTCAAACATCATCAGACTCAAAGATCAAAGGCAGATAAATACATGAAGATGAGGAAAAACCAGCAGAAAAATGCTGAAAATTTAAAAGACCAGAATGCTGCTTCTCCTCTAAATGACTGCAACTCTTCTCCAGCAAGAGCACAAAACTGGACGGAGAAAGAGTTTGACAAATTAACAGAAGTAGGCTTCAGAAGGTGGGTAATAACAAACTCCTCTGAGCTAACAGAGCATATTCTAACCCAATGTAAGGAAAGTAAGAACCTTGATAAAAGGTTACAGGAACTACTAACTAGAATAACCAGTTTAGAGAGAATATAAATGATCTGATGGAGCTGAAAAACACAGCACGAGAACTTCATGAAGCATACACAAGTATCAATAGCCGAATCAATCAAGCAGAAGAAAGGATATCAGAGACTGAAGATCAACTTATTGAAATAAGGCGTGAAGACAAGATTAGAGAAAAAAGAGTGAAAAGGAATGAACAAAGCATCCAAGAAATATGGGACTATGTGAAAAGACTAAATCCGTGATTGGTTGGGGTCCCTGAAAGTAATGGGGAGAATGGAACCAAGTTGGAAAACACACTTCAGGATATTATCCAGGAGAACTTCTCCAACCTAGCAAGACAAGCCAATATTCAAATTCAGGACATATAGAGAACACCACTAAGATACTCCTTACGAAGAGCAACCCCAAAACACATAATCATCAGATTCTCCAAGGTTGAAACAAAGGAAAAAAATGTTAAGGGAAGCCAGAGATAAAGGTCAGGTTACCTACAAAGGGAAGTCCATCAGACTAACAATGGATATCTCTGCAGAAGCCCTACAAGCCAGAAGAGAGTGGGGGCCAATATTTAACATTCTTAAAGAAAATAATTTTCAACCCGGAATTTCATAACCAGCAAAATTAAGCTTCATAAGTGAAGAAGAAATGAAATCCTTTACAGACAAGCAAATGCTGAGGGATTCTGTCACCACTAGACCTGCCTTACAAGAGATCCTGCAGGAAGCACTAAATACAGAAAGGAAAAATCGGTACCAGCCACTGCAAAAAAAACACCATAATATGAAGACCAACGACACTATGAAGAAACTGCATCAACTAATGCGCAAAATAACCAGCCAGCATCATGATGACAGGATCAAATTCACATATAACAATATTAACCTTAAACATAAATGGGCTAAATGCCCCAGTTAAAAGATACAGACTGGCAAATTGGATAAAGAGTCAAGACCCATCAGTGTGTTGTATTCAGGAGACCCATCTCATGTGCAAAGACACACATAGGCTCAAAATAAAGGTATGGAGGAATATTTACCAAGCAAATGGAAAGCATAAAAAAAGCAGGGGTTGCAATTCCAGTCTCTGATAAAACAGACTAAACCAACGAAGATCAAAAAAGACAAAGAAGGGCATTACATAATGGTAAAGGGATCAATGCAAAGAGAACTAACTATCCTAAATATATATGCACCCAATACAAGAGCACCCAGATTCATAAAGCAAGTTCTTAGAGACCTACAAAGAGAATTAGACTCCCACACAATAATAGTGGGAGACTTTAACACCCCACCGTCAATATTAGATCAATGAGACAGAAAATTAACAAGGATATTCAAAACTTGAACTCAGCTCTGGACCAAGCAGACCTAATAGACATCTATAGAACTCTCCACCCCAAATCAACAGAATATACATTCTTCTCAGCACCACATAGCACTTATTCTAAAATCGACCACATAATTGGAAGTAAGACACTCCTTAGCAAATGCAAAAGAATGGAAATCATAACAGTCTCTCAGGCCACAGTGCAATCAAATTAGAACTCAGGATTAAGAAACTCACTCAGAACCACACAACTACAAGGAATCTGAACAACCTGCTCCTGAATGACTACCGGGTAAATAATGAAATTAAGGAAGAAATAAATAAGTTCTTTGAAAGCAATGGGAATGAAGACACAACATACCAGAATCTCTGGGACACAGCTAAAGCAGTGTTAAGAGGGGAATTTATAGCACCAAATGCCCACATCAGAAAGCAGGAAAGACCTAAAATCGACACCCTAACATCACAATTAAAAGAACTAGAGAAGCAAGAGTGAACAAATTCAAAAGCTAGCAGAAGACAAAAAATAACTAACAGCAGAACTGAAGGAGATAGAGACACGAAAAACCCTTCAAAAAATCAGAGAGTGACTTTCAGTTGAAGGACAGAGCCAGACCAAGGTGACCGTACAGGGAAAAAGCTGGGAGAGTGAATACCTAATTTCACTCTTCCCTGTCTCTGATCTGCAGCCCAAATAGAAGCCAGGAGGAACAGACACCCTGCTGATGGAGCCCAACGAGGTCAGCCTCCCATGGCTGAGAGAAGAATGGATTCTGGTTCTGGAGGAGCAGTCAAAAGATATGGGCAAAAACTTTGTCACAGTATTGGCCACTTTAAAAAATAGATATATTCCATACTTCTGCAGTGAGATGGGCTGAAAATATATTTGAAGCTGTTATATGAAAAGCCACAAAACCTTTCCTAGCTCCAGCTCCCTGGTTGTAGTTTCGTGACTGTGGTTCATATGTTTTATTTTTAAATTCCCTTTTCTATTACTGTTTTAAAATGTACTTTGTCTAAGATATGTATTAAAGGGCCATATTTTATGAAAGTCCATAAGGAGGCCTTCTTTGAGAAATGACATATCCCTTTTTCTTTAACTATCACTCTCATCCCCTCTTTGGCTATGACATTTCCATTGTTAGCAGTTGGTAGGAACCAGGCCAAGGATCACAAGAAGCCAGGAATTGCTGAGCTGACTGAACTGCCTTTATTCCCCTGCTTTGGAGCACCTGGATCAACCATACACATTTACTGCTGCTTCTGATGATGTGTTTTTACACTGAATGCATTTTTCATGTTGTTTGTTAAAGATATGAAGGAAGAGTAACTCAGATGATTCTATTAACATAATTATATTGAGATAGGACTAAGGGAGAATTTTAGTGTTTGCAAAGAAATTATTTTTAAGTTCTCTTTTTTTCCTGTAGAAAGACGTTGTGTCTCTACTGAGAGCACTCACGATGATAATGCCTCTGATAATGCCGAAGAAAACATGGTAAGGCATTATTTCCTTTATCAAACAATATACAGTATAAAAATGCTTCTTTAAAAGGGTAATCGAAGTTCTGACTGATTCACATATCATCACGCAAGACTTTTATATAGAAAAAAAAAAACAGCAAGGAGGGGTTGCAGGATAATATAGCACGAAAAATATAATTAGACTTTTCCCAATGTCTATAATTAAACAGGCTCTACTTGCTTAAATACATGGTTGTTCTTCTTGTCTCCTATTGTTATTTGTAGAGAAGATCTCCAATGGCATTGTGCATATGAGGGTGAGCCAATGTACTTATGATAGAAGCATGAAATATGGGATTGTATACAAGTGGAAAGAAACACAACTATAATTCACTTGCAAATTATAGTTTGATTGTATACTTCCTTTTTACTGCATTCCTTTTATTATTTACGTGTTCCATTAATCAGAATATAAATAAGGGCTAGGAGTGTGATAAACTTGTTTTTCCCACTGTTAAAAACCCTGAAACAGCTAGTAGGGAGATTAAAATTAACTGATAAGACTCAGACTTATTTTGTAATGGTCTCATGGATTTTTAATTATAGACGCCAGCAATAGACTAAAGCTTCTTACCGCCCACCCCAAAACACTACTATCATTAAATATTTAAGATATAAATGGTTATTCTGACTTGAACAACAGACATTTAGAGTCTATTTTTCTCGGTTCTAGTGTCTTTCAGGAGGAGTACAGGAAATGAGAGAAGACCTTGACAACTCATGATAAGCATCCTTAATATCCAGTGACTTCATATCCCCTTTCTGCACTGCAATTCTAGGCAATGGCCTGTCAGACCAGACAGTTCTACCACTGCAAAGACTTGTAACCATTTTCTAGTATCACATTTACTTTTCAAGACATAAGGATCATTCACTGACCCACTACCTGCATTGAGTATAAATGCCCGGATGTTAAGGATTCCAATTTAACTTCAAAAAGAACTGTCTCATTCATTTATATTCCTGTTCCAGTCAGCCCAGGAGGTTACAGTGAGCTCTCCGCTAAGAATCTGGAAGAAATGCATCACTAGGGGTTGGTTCCCAATCTGATCAACTAATAATGGGTGAGAGAGCAAATAAGAGCAGAAGTCACCTTAGTGGAAAGGTTAAAAACCAGAGCCTGGAAACCAAGATGATTGATTTTACAAGGTATTTTTTTCTAGTTTTATATGAATGGTTATATCAGGGTAACCAACTCAATTTGGGATGAATCTTAGGGAGGCCAAAGAATAAGACTGTCAGTATCTTTAAGATTGCTAGGAAAAAGGGCCCTATCAACATAAGAATCTCTGAAGTTAGGTTACACCTGACCACACGAGGCTTGCATAGTTGATTGACTAGCCATGAAGATAATTTGAACTCTTCTGGCTCAATTGGCATATTACTAATCAGTCTTCTAATAAATTTAGATTTTCATATAAATTTTTAAGCAAGAAGAGAAGGGACAGCTCAGCTAATCTAATCTGTTTCCCTTAATTTTAATCATCAACTTACATAAAAGAAACAGTCTACTCTTAATGCTTGTGAACTTGTCACTATAACCAGGATTTTGTGTGACTTAGTCGATCAAGGTTTTGACTCTATAAGAGAAAGCAAATTCTGAATTGTGGTGTAACTTCCATCTGGTCCAATTTTATCATATGACCTCAGTTTCACAATCCTATACCTTGTATGTAGTTAACTCTGTTTTTGCTACAATGTTGTGATGGGTTATCACAAATAGCAAAGTATTAAGAATTCCAGTCAGAATGATGATTATTAAAAAGTCAAGAAACAACAGATGCTGGCAAGGCTGTGGGGAAATAGGAATGCCTTTACACTGTTGGTGGTAGTATAAATTAGTTCAACCATTGTGGAAGACTGTGTGGCAATTCCTCAAGGATCTAGAACCAGAAACACCATTTGACCCAGCAATCCCATTATTGGGTATATACCCAAAGGATTATAAATCATTCTACTATAAAGACACATGCACACATATGTTTATTGCAGCACTATGCACAATAGCAAAGACCTGGAACCAACCCAAATGCCCATCAGTGATAGACTGGATAAAGAAAATGTGGTATAAACACCATGGAATATTATGTAGCCATAAAAAGGAATGAGATCGTGTCCTTTGCAAGGACATGGGTGAAGCTGGAAGCCATCATCAGCAAACTAACACAGGAACAGAAAACCAAACCATGTGTTCTCATAAGTGGGAGCTGAACAATGAGAACACATGGACACAGAGAAGGGAACATCACACAGCAGGGCCTGTTGGGGGTTGGGGGGTGAGGGGAGGGAACCTAGAGGACGGGTCAATAGGTGCAGCAAACCACCATGGCACATGTATACTTATGTAACAAACCTGCACATTCTGCACATGTATCCCAAAACTTAAATTGTTTTTTAAAAAAAGTAACTTACGTATCTTAAAGAAATTCCATTGTGAAGAAAAATTCAATTGAGATAATATTTAAGTGTCTACCATCTCTGCTTCCCCCAACCTTGGTTCCTTTTAAAAATTATGTCCTAGTGAAAGAATATGATACTTAAAACTGGATGCATCCCCAAGCTGAAGTTTGACTTTACTGAGTATGTGCCTGGGGTGTGCAGAAACAATAGCATCCTGACTTCAGGATTGGCAATATGACCACAGCAAATTTCTAAGAAAAGGTTTGGGATATAGAGATGTTTCCTGAATATAAACACTGGCTTATTAAAGGATAATTCCAAACTTATTTTTTACTGAAGTTTTTAAAAATTACCATTTCAGGAAAAAAAAACCTAGAAAAGTTCCACGTTAAATGTTTTGTGTTTTCTCATTGGGTTGAGACCAATGGTAAGAAGGAGCGACTGCTTTGGATACAGCCTGACACACATCCCTGCTGGTTCACTCTGTGGCAGTGCATCCCCCTCCACCAACCACAAAACTCAAATTTGGTTTGCCTTGCTCAAAACGGTACCCTAATGTTTCAAGAGGATTCACTTTGATCTGTCTGAGCCAACCCTGGCAATTGCAGTCCTCTTGCCACTAGACTGGTTCGGCATAAGAAGGTAGAGAAATCTGTTCCGTAGGATATGAGGCAAAGTATTCCAGAGGTCTGTTTCTGGGAAGGTGTTTCTCCATTTTAAAAAGAGGTTATTGTATGGGGAGAAAATGCTCAGGACTGCTGAAGTCGTCTTACAATGACAAGAGATTCAGACAAGAATGAACCTGGATCCTCTGATACCACTGAGTCTCTGAATTAATCTTCAAGCTACCCATATGAGTCAGGGTTGGATCAGGGAGGCAGAACCAGAGAATGATAGAATAAAGATTTATTATAGAGCTTCAACCTTACACAATTGTGGGTGCAGGTGGAGAAGTCTATGCCAGGCTGCTCCCTCTGCATCTGGTCCTGGGCCTGAAGTCACGGTAGGTCAGCTGTGCATGTAGCGAGGATGAAGGGAAGTCCATAAGAACAAACAGAACTCATGTCTGCCTCACAGCCTCCACTGCAATGCTATGGATGATCTCAGGAAAAGCTGGTGCTGGTTGCCATGGAGCTGCACACACACCTGGCCAGGACTCTGCAAAGCTGGAGGAGGAGGCTGGCAGGAGCTGGAAGAGCTCTGGGTCCAGGGAGCTGTCTCTGGTCCTTTCTAGCGCCCCTTTTTGGCCAGGAGTCATATTTTCAAGCTGTCACAATGCTTGGGTCTGTACACTGACCTTATGAGCGTAAAATAGCTGATTTTTGCTTATCAAATTAATGCAAAATTCTTTATGACCTACTCCAATCCAGAACCACGAGAGAGAGGAATTCCGGGACATGTTCCTCCGGCTGAGCTAAATTGGCACTGCAGAAATCCAGCGCATCACCTGTCACTGAATGTCTTGTGTGGGGTTACCTCCATGTTTAAAGTGTGTACCAGCATATAGCCTACATGTGTGTTGATTAGGAGTTTTGCCTACATGTTCAAATTGCCTAACTATGGCTATATGTATATCACAATGCTGAGGAGATTTTATGACTTTCACTCCACCACTGCCAGCTCACAATATACATTCATAGATGTAGGGGTGAATCAAGCCAAAGTTGCCTAACTTCAGTAAAAACCATTCACCAACATGCCCTAGTCCCCATGGAGCATGATTGGTCTAAGGACATCTATGAGTCCTACCCATTAAGAGGAAATATGGACAAAGGATTAAGTACTTATTCATTTTTTAAACATCAGAATTGAAAAGGTTCTTCCATTTATTTAATCTGTCATGTGAAACATTACAAGGTAGTTTACTTGCATTTGAGGATCAAAAAATCCCCATTAACTGTGGAAGCAATGATATTCCCTTTAATTATTTTTCTAATTGCCTTGTTTATATGGTGTGAAAAGCAATTTAAACATGTTTTTAAAAAATGTTTCCAACGCAAGCTAAGTTTTTGGCCATGAAACAGCACCTTCCTTGTACTTCTCCAGCTGTTGTCCTTTCAAAGCAGGGGATACTATTCTTTTTGAACCTGAAAAACAGAATGTCAGTGTGTTCTGTGAATTTCCTGTGATTTTCACCAGTGGAACACATGCCCAGAACCAAGCTGAGTCCTTTCCAGAGGTAAGCAGGCCTTAGCCAACTCTTCATTAACTTCAAAGGGAGGCAGGGAATTGACACAATTATCTGCATTATAGAAAGCAGACCCCGGTAATTCACCCCAAGGGCATGCTCGGTCACTCTCAATTTTCCGCCTGCCTTGTCTTGCCAGTGAAGGCGGCGCCCTCTTTAGCCAACCCCATGAGGAGAAAGATTCTGCAGCCAAATCACCAATTTGCTCCCCAGCCCTGACACAGAATTCTTTCAGCAAACCTTTTCCTTGTGTGTATGACAGTTGAGGGATTTTTTTGGCTTTTCTTCTGTGAAGGGGAAACAATTAGTCATTGCACTGCCAAGGATTTCCTATTCCTATTCCTCTCTAGCCTCTCAAAAGTAATTTCCTATTTTTCCTATTCCTCTCTAGCCTCTCAAAAGTAATTTCTGCTTTACTCACTGTGTTCTTTGTTGAAAAGAACTGTGACAAAGTCGAACGCATGGCATCTGTTTTGGAGGACCTTCGACCTCCTGCAGCTGAATGTAATTGCAGCACATGGGAAGCACCTCCCTAAACAAGTCATTACATGGGGTTGCTGGCGGGCTCTGCAGAGAAGACCCTAAATCCAGTGCCACAACACTTCTCAAATTGGGGCCAGAGTTCAAACCTCTTAATTGGCCCTCTCACATAGGACTTATCCTTGAGGCAGCTATTCAGACATCAGTAAAAAATTTCTGGAGTCTCTCAATGAGTCATATGTCTTATATTTATATCTAAGTATCTTCAATATAACCAACTCTTAGGCTCTCCTTCAAAAGAGATGTTTTTGACCTCCCTTAAGTTTGTATTTATGCATATTATTGGCAACCCTATCAACTTACCTTGCAGGGTTACTAGTAATTCAGTTTGGGCCTGGAAAAATTTGTATAAAATAATCAGGAGTCCATGGAACAAGATGATTTTAAAAAGCACAGATGGATCAGCTCAAAATTTGGAGTGCACTCTTTCCATAGTAGACACATACATGACTTTGTACCATGTCAATATGGAGTTGAAGAGGGAAGACATTTAAGATGGAGGTAGTGAAGGAAAACAAATGAAAGAGTCTTGCTTTGTATTTCTCTGCTTTATATTCCTGATTCTGCCCAAAAACACAGAGAAATTGGGCTAGTGATGCACCACATTTAAAAAGAAAATGAAATGATGGTGCCTATGTATGCCAGAAGCTACGCTCAGTGATTTCAGGCAATCTATTAGCTAATATCGCATGATCCAATCTCCTCTGATTCCCTTCTCCTAAAGCCAGACCTCATTTAAAAACTGTGTGTTCCTGGGAAAATTTTAATAAGGAAGCCGGGACTACCTGACCCTACCAAACATTTAGTACATTGTTCTTTGTCACTCTACCAGTAAAATCAGGGCAATGGCTTCTACCATTAGATTAGAAGAATCATTTCATGGACCAAAGAGATATAAAAAGATCCTTTCTCTGTGTTTTCAGGCAGAATCAGGAATATAAAGCAGAGAACTACAAAGCAAGACTCTTGCATTTGCTTTCCTTCACTGCCTCAATCTTAAACATCTTCCCTCTTCGACTCCATGTTGACATTGTACAAAGTCACGTATGTGTCTACTACAGAAAGAGTTCACTCCGAATTTTGAGCCGATCCATCTGTGCTTTTTAAAATCCTCTTCTTTCCATGGACTCCCGACTACTTTACACAA